ACGTAATACTTATCAAGTTCGTTTTTAGGATATTCCTGGAATGATGCAAACTATATCTGAAGTCTCAGAATTTAAAATCCTGGATTTGCAAAAAATCCTTTTCGTTTGTACGACAGTACACTTCGAAACTCTAGATCTCTTCATGTCATACCAGATAGATGAATGAAATGAGATTTTCAATATAAGTTTTCTTCGAACATTCATTCGTAAAACAGCTGCTTTTTTCCATTCATTGAATTATTCATTTCATCAGTCGAATAATTAGACGACATTCAATTATGTGAGTTTATGGAATCACGTCAGGTACCCTTACGAGGGGAGTATATTAACTTTGGCGTTCGTAATGCCTCTCTGCAAAGGAGGGTGTCGCCTTCAAGAGTTAGGTATAAACAGTGGTTTTATACCAGTTTATATACCAGATAGTTAAATTGAATAAGGAGATTCTAAAGATAAGTTTTAATCAACGTTGAGTTTGTCATTCCATAAATAAAAATCATAGTTCTATTCTTCTACGAACATTGCTTGTTAAAAAAAGGTTTTTATCGATTCACTAAATTAATTTCATCAGTCGAATAATTAGTCGACATTCAATTATGTGAGTGTATGGAATCACGTCAGGTACCCTTACGAGGGGTGAGTATCAACTTTGGCGTTCGTAATGCCTCTCTACAAAGGAGAGTGTCGCCTTCAAGAGTTAGGTATAAACAGTGGCTTTATGCCAGTTTTTTTCCAAATTTATCATGCACTATGGACAAGCGAAAGATGGCGGCTGCAAAATGGCGGATCAGTTTTGTAATTATGATCCGATTCTATATAAAGTTGGTATCTGGGTTTTTTGGGGGTGGGAAGTTATGATTCTCCTCTCGACATTTGAAAATTCAAGATGGCGGATCCAATATGGCGAAAGTGTTTTGTAATTATAATCCGATTCTATTCAAAATTGGTATCTGTGGGATTTTGTGGTCGAAGATTATGATTCTTTCCTCAATATTCGAAAATTCAAGAAATGTGGTTCCAATATCGCGGACGACTTTTGTAATTAAGATCCGATTCTGTTCAAGATTGGTATCTGGGGGTTTTCAGGTTCAGATATTATTATTCTCGTCAAATTTTGGAAATCCAATACGGCATACAAGTTCATCAATTACGATCCGATTCTATTCAAAATTGGTATCTGAGGTTTTTCGGGTCGGAGATTATGAGAAAATTCAAGATGGCGGATTAAATATGTCGACAGAGCTTTATAATAATATAAGGTTTCAGAGAACCAAAAAAACAGTCTTTCATAGATATCCAAACTAAAAAGAAATTGGAAATAAATAGTAGTTTAGAAAACAAAAGATAGACTACCAAACTGAAAGAAGTAAAAAATAAATATAGTTTGAAAAACTAGGAAAACATGCTTTCATTGTTAGTCAACTGAAGAGAAATAGAAAAAAAAAGTGTTTTGTTAAATATTCAACTGAAAAAATATTTTCTATAAATAATGTGCAAAGCAAAACATTTGCAGGGTCAGCTATAATCAATAAAATTACTTAAAAAAAAAAAGTAATATTTGTAATTCATTTTAGTAAGTAGCATAGCAATGGTACAGCTAGAAATGAAATGAGAGAATGTGCCTGCTGGACTGAAGAGATAAAATAAAAGCATCACAAAAGTGGAAAAGGAAAAACTGAAATAGCACTTATCATCTTTAATTCAGTATCAAATTAATAGTTTGTCATTTTCAAGAGTTATTTTCCTTCCTATTTTTTGCAATTACTTATTTATCAATTCATTTTTGATTAAAGAATTTTCACTTGTTCCTTCTTTTCTCATAGTTCCTGTTGCAATCATGAATATGAATTTTTGAAAATAGTGAAGACTTATGACTATTATAAATGTGCTGAATTTGTTTCACATGAGGAAAATATCCTTACCTGGGCAAATATGAGAGTTGATCATTTTGACCTGCAGCAATCTGATCAACAGTGACCACAACTGCACCATTTTTCCAGTCAAACTTGCTCAAATTTATGAAACCTTCTGTCACAGTTACTTTATGTGGAGGTACAGCTTCTTTTTTCTCTGTGTAAACCCTTGTGCTAGGATAGAAAAAAGCATTGAAACCATCTACAGCAACTAAAGTTTTGAAAACTCCTTGATTTGATAGCTCTTTAACTTCATTACATATAACAACTACAGCCTTAGAAGCATATTTTAATCTGTTTATGCCATGTTCAATGATGGACAAAAGTGGAGAACCTGCTGGTGTGATTTCACGTTTGCTCCATACATGGTCTTGATTTGTTTTTGCCTCAGGTTTGGACAACAGATGAGCATTTTGTGTCTTGAAGTGTAGAAGCCATGCTGCTGCATCAAAGTTTATGTCAACATAACCTTCTTTATCTTCAGAGTTGCTGTTCTCCCTACATCTACGCATCCAGTTGCCCAGCCATGGGATGTGAACAATAAGAAAACCCTCTTGGAAGGCATAATGCAAAATGTGAGCTAAAGATACTGTCTTTCCACTACCTTTTTTTCCATACAAAACAAATCTCACCACAGGCTGGGAGTAATCTAAGGTTTTCAGAAGACTGATTACATCCAAAGCAGGCTGTCGAATCATCAAACAAGTTTCATTGAACGATTTTGATTGTTCCTCAAAAGATTTCGTCAATCCTCCATGTGCAAAAATTTGTTTTTTGTCATTGGCAGGGACCTTGTAGAACTGTGATAGATGTTCAATTGAATGTTTGGAACAAACTGTCTCACTAGTACGGAACTTTTGTAGCCTTTCTTGGGTAATAGGCTGTGCAGCAATAGAATAACATGTTAGCTGGAATTTACTAAGGGATGTCAGTTTCCTTGATAGGATTTCACTAGTACTCTTCAGCATTTTGTACCTATTTTTTCAAGCAATATACCAATATTGGAATTTGAAACACTAGCTGGAGGCTCGAGCTGAATAGTGATTTTATGAGAATGTAATGTTTTGATTTTACTCTAACCTCAAATAATCCTATCTAACCTACCTCAAAAATTCTTCTTCTTTATAATTTGTACTCATCTCTTATCATCCAATATTTTTCTAGGTTCTAATACTTCTTTCCATCATTTTCTAGAATCTAGACACAATGGTCGCGTCTGACTATAGAATATTAGAATACAATAGATGCTAGTTGTAACGGCTATCCGGCAAAGAGAGTCACAACCTTGACGGTCGCTGGCCTAAATAATCTTCTTCTCTTTAGGTTTGTACTGGAACTTGATGTGTTTGCCGCTGCAAGGCCGCTGCTGTTTTGACGTTTTTGTATACAGGGTATCCGGAAAGTTCATGTCGTGAGACTCGTGAGTCGTGAGTGATAGGGCTGATAGAGTGAGCCAAAATGTTAGTAGTTAGTACTTCATATAGAAAAAATTTCTATCGCACGACCTCCGCGTTGCCATGCCGCCATGGTATCAATTATATGCGGGCAACCAATAATAAACTCATAATTATACCACAGATTAACAAACCTTATTATACTTATATATATACTCCTTAGACCTGTTCGTTTGTATTGCTAAATTTGCTTAAGTTGATTATTTTCTCATAGTTTTCTCTGTTCAGCAGGTAGAGCAAGGACAAACGAACAAGCCTCTTATTATTTCCATATAGTCCAAGAGCCGGATGCAAAATTCGATCGTCTACCGAACGGCAGAGATCAGTGACTGATCTCTGCGAACGGCATCTGTGCCATTCACTATCCTGAGCAAAATGATTGAGAAGTTGCACTTTCCTGTGCGGAAATTTGCACTCGATTTCGCGATTTGATAACGAGATAAAAATGCCATCTGATATACCAATTGAATGGTAAATTCCAAAAACCTAGCTCTGCCACCCTTCAGTCTGAGCAAAATCCGCGATTTATTTTCTGCTATAATTCCGGACATATACTTCCGTCATGTGATAAAACGAGTTGAAACAAGAAGTAAATAAAAGAGGAAACGTGCCGCGATTGTTTTCAAATCTTTAACGCCTTGTGGCTGTATCTTGGTAATGGTGTATTTCCGGACCCATGTTTACATGAACTTTTCGGTTTGGAACCACTCAAAAAATCAACTCTTAAAGGTTGATGGCCACATTCTTAAATGTCACCCTATATAGTTACTTTAAAATTTCATAATATATTCTTATGGGATCTTTCAAATATATATATCAAACTCATACATGAATATCATTGGAATACCATCCTCATAAATAGGTTACATAAAAATATTAAATATTACATTATTTCATGGATTGAAAAATAACTGTAAATTTTTGAAAGTTTATTTTCAATCAATCAAAATGTACAAGATTCTTATAATAAAAAGTTAATGAAATAAGAGCACTATGATTTTCAAGCTCAAATTGAAACTGAAAAATCGACTATTTTATCTTATATCTCACAATCAATAAATGCCAGTCATATTTGCCTTTTGTTCTATAACAAAGTAATGCAATATTTTATCACTTGTAGAATAAGTAAAAATTCTCATAGCTCTAGGAATATTAAAGCATGATTCATATCCTTCCATTACTGCTTTAAGCAGAAATTACATTCAAAATATTCATGAACAACAAAAATTGATAATACAAATCCCACTAAATTATTTATAATTCAACTTGAATGATTTCAAGGGAGGTCATGGGACATAATTTTTAAAATCCCAATGATGACCAGAATTAAACATAGAATATAAACTTGTTTTGAATAAACAATTGTAAATTTTCCATGAAAAAACTATGGACTAGGTATTTTCTGCAATAATGTTTTGCTGAAAGTAAATAGAACAAAATATTCACAATATAATATACCAAAAACAATAATCACCAATAAAGTTTACTATAATGGCTTCAAAATATTTGAAAATAATTGATGGATTTCTCACAATTTTTCATAGAGAAGCACACAGACATGAATTTCGAAAGTGTTGTAGACTGAAACATGAGAGGATATGGATCTAATGTTATTTAAGAAAAAATTGTTCAATAATTAAACTGTCCTTAAGATGATATGAACTCCTGAGTCTGTAAAGACAGGATCTGATAGTTCTCCTACTTTTAATGCAAAAGCAGCTTCTTCAAATGGTTTTTGCATTGCCCCTTTTCCAAAAGGCCCAAGGTCCCCACCTCGTTTTGCTGAGGAACAATCTGAATATTTAGCAGCCAGTTCAGCAAAGGATGCTTTTCCAGATGCAATCTGATCTCGATGGGCTGAAATTGAAATTTACTTTTACCAAAAGCTTGAACTACATGAAAAAAAGGTTGAAGTTCTGCACCTTCCTGAACTTTCTGCTGAACTATAGTACAATTTACTGAAGATCAGCACCTGTGGAATTTTATCACTTTGCAATGAACATTGATGACATTTTCAGTTCAGTTCTGTACCAGAAGGTTTTAATGCAACCTTGAACCTATATAAGGTGTTTCAGATTTTAATGGGGATATTAGAAATCATAAAAATAGTTCATATAAACTTGTATATGCTATGGAGCTTCATTTTTTTCAAGATATGGAAGTGTGGTTAATTGATATGTACTTTCTATGGACTATTAAATATTCCCCATTAAAATTTGGAACACTGTAGGATATAGAATGTTGATTATGTTCATTGCATGTGCCTAAAGAAAAAAGGAAAAATATAACAAATATGCACTCAAATAATATCAATGTTCATAATCATAACAATAGTTTCCTATAACTATCAGTTTCTCCAATTTCTTTTTCATTCTGAACATTATTTACTTAGACTTCAATCATCACATACTATTATTACAATACACACATCAACTTCCTCAGGTGCAGACCTTTAGTAAATACCTTGGTAAATACTATCAAGTAAAAATAAATAATACTTCCAGATCAACAGCTCAAAATGCACTGAAATTCATAATTGAGTACATACATTTTACTAAATCCAAAGCTTCATCTTTTGATCTTGTGATATTTTCTTCCCTCCAAGAAGAGGGTCTCCTGGAATCTTTATGTTTTACTAGTAGATGGGAGCATTGAACTTGTTCAGGTCCACTGGAAGAAACAGGCTCTGCAGGCTTGTCTGGTGCATCCCATTGAGATTCTTTTGTATATATGTTCAAATAATAATGCTGACCTGAAACAAACAACAAAAATGTGAAGTGTGTACTAGAAAGTAGAAATGCATTTAACCAATTTTCAGGTAATGACTGATGCTGAACTTCAAATTTTGTATCCCCTATCTTGTATGCCCTTAAGAGGCAATGTTTTTTTCGAATGCATGACAAAAAAGGAAAAAAGAACTCACCGGTCGATCTACTGAGGCGTTTTTCCCAACCGGCAGGTAACTGTTCGTCCGCCATTTTTTGTTAGCAGTGTAATATTGACAACAGTGTAATGTAATAGGTAATGCAACAGTAAGTGTGGCAACGTTGTATACGTCATCTGTCATTATCTTTTTTATTATGTTCGTTACTTGTAAAAACATTGCCTTTATCATACTTAATAGCGATAGGTCGTTGATTATAAATATTTCACTGTTGTTTCTATTTCGATAATTGATTGATTGAAATCAAATTCAAACTGACGAATCAACACTCCTTCCATGAATCGTATCCAAGGAGAAAATATTTTTGGAAATATAATCTATTTGAAATTAATCCCAAGTGAACACAAGCAGTAAATCAGCTGTTGCTGACAGCAAGCTCAGCGAGATGACAGTGACAGTATGTTTGGCCTTCGTTGTTGTCAAATATTTGTATTTCGATTTTTTCATATTTGTGTTGGTGGAGTTTGTGTACGGTCGGACACGTATGGATTTTGTGTTGAGTTGAAATTCGCGAGGAAATTCGTTAGTAATTAATGCACATTTTCGCTTCCATCAATTCGGAAACATGAGTAATATTATTGATTCAGCAGTAATTTGGTGTTAATTAACATTCCGATTTCTTGGTGGTCGAATCCATTGGTTAAGGACCCCAAAACCGTGCGGGGGTGTAAAGAGTGTATAAACAATAATTGTATTTTCGTCGATTCATAATACTCTAATACTCATCTTCAGTGGTAAGTGTCATCGACAGGAATTATATTATATGTTCATCATAATTGTAAACGTAAGCATCAATTATTGTCGAGTGTAGTCAGTTTTTGGCGAAAGTAGGTCATAAATCTCTTGCCAAGCATTAAAAAATAGTTATTACAGGTGGTATTCTGTTGGATTGATGATATCGGACCCGAGTAAAGACCACATCAGGGGTGGAATGAGTTTTATCTTTAATTCTTATAAAGTTTCAACCCTCTGTGTATTCTTTATGATGAGGGCCGAGATGAAGGCCTACACAAATTTGGTTTCTGGTAGACAGGTAGCTTCTCGGGTAGCTTGAACCTCACCAAAAAAAAATTAAACAGATTAATATTTCCTTTTAATAAATATACATAAATATAGGTATCAGGCTTCATTAACACTGACTTCCACATTGACTTGAAAATTCGAATCAGAAATGCTCGGTCAGCAAGGATTTTTGAAACACTGCGAGAATAAACTATCCCTCTAAAGGGGTGGATCGAAATAATTCCAGTGATGGCATCTATAAATCTATATGAGATATCCAAATATGTAATTTGATGGTAAAATACGAACCAGAAATTCTCGGTCAGCAAGGATTTTCGAAAAACAGCAAGATTAAACTACCCCTCTGAAGAGTGGATCGAAATAATTCCACTGGTGGCATCTATAAATCTATATGAGATATCCAAATATGTAATTTGATGGTAAAATACGAACCAGAAATTATCGGTCAGCAAGGACTTTTGAAAAACTGCAAGAATAAACTATTCCTCCGAAGGAATGGATCGGAATTATTTCACTGGTAGCATCTATATATCTATATATTCATATAGAATATTCAAATATGCAATTTGAAGAAACAATTCGAACCAGAAATGCTTGGTCGGCATTCTTTAATAATTTTGGTCAGCAAATTATATTTCTATATTTCCCCCTCTCATGATGCAACATTTTTTGTACTTCAATTCGGTATATGATTTAATGGGATCTCGAATGGGATTTAATCTTCAGATCGACATTTTATCCAGTGTTGTGCTACGGGGGATTGGCGAAACTTTTTCTCACATAATATCTACGCCACTGATGAAAATTTGATTTATCTGATTCCCTGCTCATTTTTGTTGAATAAAAGTAAAACCTTCAACTGAGCTGAAATCGAGGCTAAAATGTACAGTTTTCGAGATTTTGGTATGGTAAGAATCCGGTAAGAGACAGTAGAGACACGCTGATACATTAATATACAGGGTGTTTCAGTTTTTCGTAGCAGGACTTTAACAGCTTGAAGAAGACATTTTTTTAAGATGAAAATCCCATACAAACATATATGCGTGGGAGCTTCGTTTCCGATTTACAGGGTGTCAAAGTTTCAGATTTTTTTTATGTTTTTTGAATTTTCTCCTACAATTCTCGGAATAATTGATTGAAATTTGGTACACCTAATACACTTCAAAAACTCAATATTTGAGGATATTTAGCGTTTTTGAATACCTTCAGGGTGATAGACTTTCAGTAAATGTTTAAGAAATGTCAAATAAGTGTGTGGGAAATCATATTTCCACTGTATATTTCTGTGTCATATGTATATAATATTTAGATTTCACTTTGTAAATAACTATTGATATCAACTGTAAATATTATCCATTATTATCATGTAAACGGTACACCCTGTATATATCTTCATCGAATTTTGAGTCGAGGCGATCTCTAAGCTTACAAATTACAAAACAGATGTGGACTTTCCCAAAACTCAAATATTGTTTGTCGAAACAGTTTTATGATCGTGTTCTCAGGCTTAGCGTACCCCAATAAAATTCCATCTGGAGGTACCAAACAAATGATTCGGATTTTCTTAATTATTTCATTTCAATTTGAGTCCCACCTTTTCAAACACTTGAACCGTTTGACTGGTACGACTCACTTACGAACCACGGCATACGAGGGGGTAATCACTCCCAATTTATGTGTCCCACAATGTAATACTATTACATGTATTACATGCCATTACACATGTATTGCATGAGTATTACATGACTATGCAATGTATTGCAAGGGTATTACAACAATATGTAATAGTATTGCATGTGTATTACATCGTATTACTCAGTATTACATGGTCATTCAATGGTATTACATGTAATTGTAATAGTATTGCACTAGTATTACATGACCATGTAATACTATTTCATTAGTATTTCACGATCATGTAATAGTATTGCACTAGTATTACATGATTATGTAACAGTATTACACTAGTATTACATGACTATGAATAGTATTCCTCAAGTTTATAACAGGTATACATCTCGGCCATATTATGTGTGATCACTTAACCCTTTTACTTTATTGTCATCATCTGAAATGGAATTATATTAACTACATGTAGGTACATACAAAGCGTTTTCCTAGGCATTTGTGGAAATCATAATCAAATTCAATCAATCTTATTACGGTAGATTCCGTAAAAATCGGAATAATCATCGTGTTTGTTCATTATCATTGGTAACTCTTTTTTAGCAAAATTCTCTGACTCACTGAAACAATCATCGTTGAAATGTTTCATTGCATGAATAGAATCATAACCATAGAGAGTAAGGAGATTTTTCAGATATGTTGGCATATGTAACCCCATTTTTTCATGTATCAAGCGAGGTATCAAGGTCCAAAAGCGGTTATTTTTTGCATCTTCAATTGATAATCTTGCGACTGATTTATCAGCTGCATCCACGGCTGCAATAGTATCGGTTCTGGAAATAGTAACAACACAATTTTGTGAGATTACATTGATAATTCCGAGGATAATTCTCTTTTTCTTCAGAGTATAGGTGTTTCTTATGTTTTCTTATCTCTCTGATTCAATGAAAGGAGCGAATCCTCACTTGAGTTCATGAAGAAAATGTGAGATGTCGCTTAGTTTTCAGAATACACGGTGTTGAAATTTTGTTTTAAAATCGGTTTCTTACGATGTTTTTTATTGTTATTGCAGACCCAATAAGAGGTTCGACTATCCATTAATAGAAAAAAAATCAAGTCCTGTGGCGTCCGGAGGGGCACCTCAACCAATACGAGGACCATATCATTGACAAAAAAAATATACGCCACTGAGTTTTTCTGTTTTTTTTTTTTCATATTGAGCAAATAATATAAACAAGTTCTTATCTTCTGAGGTGTTTCCGTATATCGCTTAGTTCTCGAGATAAAGTATAGAAACCACTTTATTGCATGTCCATGGAACTCATAAAACTCGACATAAAAACAATGAAAAAAAAACACGTAAAATGTATTCATTAAAATTGCTTGCAACAATGAAATATCAAGGCGAAAATATGATATGAAAGTTTTGGCGCTTCACTTTCGAAATACAGACTTAAAAAAAAATCATGTGTTTTTTATGGGTTTTGTGTGGTCCATTGACATGCAATAAAGTGGTTTTCATTTTTTTATCTTGAAACAAAGTGTGATACGGAAACACTTTAGGAAATAAAAAAGTTGTTTCATCAATTGCTCAATCCGTAAAACATATTGAAATTACACAAAGTCTTCGGCTTATATTTTTTTGTCAATTATATATTGGTTAAGGTGCCCCTCCCGACGCCACTGGACTTCATGATTTGTTTCTATTGATGGCTAAATAAGCGCCTCATAACTCAAAATAATGATACCGAATTTCAACGAAAATTGTTGAAGCATGTTTACAATAAAAATAAAAAACCGATTCAAAAACAAAATTTGTACATTTTGTATTTTGAAAACTAAAAGTAACATTCGAAATAAAAATTTATACATTTTCATCTTGAAATTAAACTAACGATTAGTTCCTTTCATTTCATCAGACAGGCTATGAAACACCTTAAATTGGAACGCTCTTCAATAGAAATGAAAGCACGACATTCTACTAATGGACCAAAATCGAGACCAAAATCATATAGTAGTAGTAGTAGTAGTAGTATATCACAGAAGATGGCCACACGCTTATGAACTTGGCCACTGAAATTGTCGCAGGTATCTTTCTCGTTCCTGCAAGTCTCAGAATTCTACCTCAATTATTACGGAAGATACCTTGAGAAGTGATACCTTGAATGAGGCACTGTTTTATCACTCTGTAACTTTCTGTCAACGTTTTCCTGATTACCATTTCATGGAACCATTTATTTTGTGGAATACTGATGAAATGTGATCCCTCAATTGGCAAAGCAAATTAAAATAATAATAATTATGATTGGTATATATGGAACAGGCAACATGCGAATGCAGAAAATGCTTGAGTAATCTTTATAAATATATATATATATATATATTTCATTCATCACTCTGATTGAAGATAATGACAATCAAGACGACAGATAAGTAGATCGATAGTACCTTTTATTAATAATTGAAAGAAACACATTTTCCAAATGTTAGATGTGAGTACTATAATTTTGTTATTGTCAAAAACTCTCGAAATATGACAATGTTCAATGTTACTCAAACATTTTCAACAATACCGTTTTTTTCTAGGGGGGATAAGGTAACAACCCTAATACCCCCCTTGTGTACGCGCCTGTGGCCTGTGATGAGTTCATACATAACATTCTTCAGCTCACAACAGTCACAACATGGTCACAACCGAGCCAATGACTCATTTGTCATTTGTATCAATTATCTTTACTATTCCATAATACGAGGATTTATGTATCCAACATCTTCAAAATACCTTGTAAACAAGAACGAAAATCATGAGGAAAATGAAAAAACACCATAACATTACCTATTAGATGTTGAATTCAATCGAGGATACAATAATTATCATTTCATTAAACTTACCCGTCATGATTGCTGTCTTTTTCACTCATCATAATATTCGAATGATTAGAGTATTCAAATCAAATAGCTAATATTCACTTTTCACTTGCACTTGCTGACAAATCAAGGTATAAACGCGGGAAATGGGTCCTTGGGAAATGGGTTGGTATGTTGCTTGAAATAGGACCCAGTTTCCTACCGCCAACTGTCGCGC